AATTGAACTGATTTCATAATCACCGCACCAAGATTGTGAGTCCCAGATACACGGAGCTTATTTAAGCGTTATAGCTTCTGAGACATTAACCTTAAAAACTGAGCTGACATCTCAATCATACCTCTTGTGCAGTTGACACCGTCAACGACGCAGAAGAAATTTGTCTTTTAAAGTCCAAGTGTAGCTGGAACTCGCGAAGGTGGCAAATCGAAGCGAAACACAGCCCCCTTTGTGTAACGATTTAACGTTAAACTAATTAAATCGAACACAATTTAAACACTGCTGTCGCGTTTGTCATCGTCTTCGTTGTACTGTTGCCGTCACTTCGGTTAACGAGGCTTGGGCAACAGAGCGGTTCAGACATCTTATATCAATTCCTATCATAATCCTATGGCGAAACGCGGCGTGTGCCTCAACATCTTCGATTGGTGACTTGTCTGAAACGGGTGCAATGCAATGCTCCCTCGTCTGACGCCAAGTAACGAAACTCTAACCACACTGATCCGGTCGAACAGGAATAACATGCTTAAACCAACTTTCGTGACACAAAGCAGTGCGGCAGTGTCCTTGCCCTACGTAGACGATGACTAAAGCCAATGATCAGTTGGCTTCCGCTGACGCGATTAAAGTAAACACTGAATGTTCGCGCTGAAACGGCTCACTCGTCGCTCAACGACTAACTGAAGTAGTAGTAAGTCATTTTTTACGGCTGCAGTGATGGCGACGCAGTGCGGTTCGATCAACAAACATCAGTGGTGAACCACGTGGTGCTCAGCTGACAGAATGTAGAAATCGCCTGCGAAGAAATAGCACGAGAACACGTCAGGCAAGGCAAATGACTGATCTTCATATCTATGGCACCTGAGCAACTCACTTTCGATCCAATGATCGACTATACCGACGAGGAGGCGTCTCAAGATGAGCCGAGACAAGCGTTTTCTCACTTTCTAAGCCTCCGCTTCCACCATTGACGTAACGAACTCCAGATCATGCTCAAACTACATTCTGCTTTTAACTCATCCGGTGATACCTTGTAAATAACGTAATTCAATCAATTCAAATCAACTTTAGCTTTGCATTCAGCGCCTCCGTTTTGGTACCGTCTTACGACTGCTCATCTTTTCCTAACTTTCCATCGGCAGGAAACATTTTATTAGGGCATGGCAGCATGTACCAAATGAGCTTAAAGCACACTGTACCTTGCGTCCTATTTTGAAACACATAAAAACTGGACCACACTGTCGTGCATTGTGCGCTTGAGGAGACCATCACTTGGAACCGTGTGCATAAACGGAAAACCTCTAATTTGCAATGTCCGTTGCTTTCTTAGGTTCTCAACACTTTAGTTATAAAACAGCGATTACTGAATCGTGGAAGGAACCATTCTTCTCCGAAAACTGACTGCATCTACCTTGTTCACAGATGTTGCATGCTGACGGCCTCAAGGTCGACGTCTGCCGTGTTTCGACACCTGAAGTATCAGGGCCAAGGAAAAAGCACCCATAATAATGATGTCTACGGTGTTGGCTTCTCAGAATGATTTAGGCGATGTTCGTTGCTGTGACAAAGGTCATATTTCCCGTTACAAGCAAGTCAGCTACTAGCAACTGTTTAAGGGTGCAATGTTGGCCTCTGACACCCATGCGGCGAATGTTTGTTTCTAAGAGAAAACGGATTTGGATAAGCTTCCATTCACCTGCCGAATGGTTCTGTCAAA